CGCCGGACTGGTTCACCACTAATGATTTTCTGCTTGTAGGCTTTTGTATTGAGTTATGTTCGTGTGGTTACCTTTGGCCATTAAACTTTTGGACTCTGATCTACAATTGTATGGCCTACATTGGGACACCCTGTGTTCTGGCTTAGGATTTTTTCTTCTTTTATTTGGATTATGACCGCCTATCCTTGTTTGGCTTTGCCTATTCCAATTATAGTGGCTCTATGTAAATTCTTCTTCATATATATATATATTGCTTGACTTTTTGAAAAAAAAAAAATCTCTTTCATTTCTTTTCTACTTGATTCTACTTAACCAAATGAAGTCTCGAACTTGGATCACTTTTAGACTTGGGTTCCGTTCCAGGAGGCAGCAGTGTCCATTTGATGTAGTACATAATTTTGAACAGTTCAACAACACTATTTCATAAGTCCGTTTTCGACCCAAAAGGATTGTGTGTGTGTTTGTGTTTGTGTTTGTGATTGTAAAGTTGTCAGAGTTGGTCAAATTCAAGGAGGTCAAATTCAAGGCTTATGTAAGAGATTAAGAATACACATGATACCTAAAAAAAACTACACATGCATGCTAAATCAAGCTTAATACCCTTAATTTGCTTGTATCTGTTTTGAAGCACTAGTCATCTGCCCTAACAGTGGCTCATCACCACCACCACCACCACCACCACCTATTCTTTCTTACAGGAGTGTTAGGGACAGTCGCTAGTTGTCATTTTCAAGTTTTTAAATAGCTAATCTTGCTCAAAAGTTTAAGCAAAAACAATGACACCATGATTGTGCGTATGGTAATAATAAAGAGGAAAAAAAACTAACTAAAATTGATGGAGTTTGAAGGGACTAACTGAAGTGTGCAAAGAGATTAGTACAAAAGGGTCATAAATATACCCCTCTGATAAAAGAAATATGAAAAGGAGGACAAACAAATTTGTATTTTACACTCTGTTGGAAGTGTTAATAGGGACTCAAATGGGATAATACCATTGAGTTGTGTTAACCACTTTGAAAACAACTCGATCACTTGCAAAACATATAATAATACATTAAAGTCATTATCATATAATGAGGGTGTGAGTGTTCACTTTCGCACTTATCCCTTAAATCGACTCAATGGTATAAGATAATTCAATAGTCATCATAGTTTTTCCTTCCAAAAAAAGAAAACAAGAAGAAGAAGAAGAGGAGGAAGAACAAAACATTTAACTTCATTCTTTGTTCAGATATATATATATATATATATATATATATATATATATATATATATAGCATGCATTCTATTACTAATTTTAAGAGCTGTAACAATGACAGGTTATAAAATCTTAGTATGGTGAAGCATTTACTTGGACACGTATCTTCGGACATGAATATATATGACATATGTATTTGACACTTTTAGTTGGACATGTACTTAAAAAAAAACATATATCATATTATTTAATTACATTATATTATTACTTTAAAATGAGTTAAATGCTTATATTGAACATTATATTAGATAAAAACATTACTTTACTTTAGAAAATAAAATAAAATAATTAATAAAATGAATATTTAGTCGTCCGTGTATCATTCTGTTTGGAGATTTGATACATCTGACCCATGAATACATACTCATGTCCGACACCTATATCCGAGTTTATATATATATATATATATATATGAGTCCCATCTACTTTTAAAAAGTGTTAACAATGTGCTGTTCATACGCCCTAAGAATATTTCCCAAATGGGAAGGTTGTGTCTGGCATATATTTCCTGTATAATTAAAGAATCCATTGTGTACCCACTTCAGAACGAATATTCTTATAATGTTCAAGTTAAACCTTGTAAATTGCAATATAAACGCAATCTCTCTCTCTCTCTCTATATATATATATATAAACCCTCGCATACTAAAACCATGCATGCTAAATCAAGCTTTATACGTGGTTGTGTCTGTCGTGAAGCACTTGTCATCTGCCCCAACAATGGCTCACCACCACCACCTATTCTTTCTTATTGCCATTGGTATGATAGTGACTTTATTATTAACGTGATTGACAACTATTAGGTGGTTTGAGATTATATGATCTCGGTCCATCAAAATATATCATGTCACCAAAAACTTGAATATATATTTGATGACATGGCATTGAGCATTCTCGCAACAAGTTTGATTTAAGCAGTAGTCATTAAATAAAAAAGAGAATAATATGAATAAATAATTAATAAATGCAAAGCGTGTCTTTTTTTTGTGCCGGGAGCTTACTAAAATGTGTGAACCTGAGTGTTTTATGTGAGCCTAATTGAAGGGACCTCACCGGTAATAAATTGTGGGGCTCTTATCTTAAATTTTGATTTTGATATTTAAGTCAATGTATTGATATAGAAAAGAAAAAGAAAAAGAAAAAGGAGCAGCAGTAGTCACCACTCTAATAAAAAGATAAAAATGAGTAAATAATTTATCTCCCCTCTCTTCTTCCTACGGACGGTCCTACTCTTTCTTGGCTTCTTTAATTTTTAGCTTAAAGTCGCTGCTAAAAATCCATGGTTCTTGATATGTTCCTTGTAAATAGCTGCATCACAGGCATCGCTAGGTATTCTTCTTCGGCTAGCTAATTCACAAGGTGGATTTCCATTATCAGGTGGGAAAAGACTCTCTGCACCAACAAGGTGAATCAAACTCTCGACATAAGAATATGGAAATAATATACATCCATGGTAACCTAGATCCTTAGTTCTTTGGGTCTCAAAATTATAAGATACCAGATTGCCCTTGTGGTTTACTTGTAGCAATTCACCGCTTTTTCTCAAGCATAGTAGATGTGTGTCGTCTCCGAAATTAACAGTAAATCGTTTTGTCCAAGAACCCATTTTGCCAGACTCCATTGTCCATACGCCACAACACTCATTCACAACAAATTGTCCAAAAAGATACAGTGATTCCCCCAAAACTGCAATATTGTACGGATAACAATGTCGAGCACCATCTGGAAGCATTACCTCTTCAAAAACTTCATCACCCATTTCAAAACGCACAAGAAAACAACGAATACCCTCAATAGTTTCCTTACCTGCAACCCAATATGCAGCTCCATTCAAGATTGCAGGACTACGACAAATAAAACCATATGAAGGGTCAAGGGCAACATCCATTCTTCTCCAAGAGTTCGTGCTTAGACTATAAACCTCGGCGGCTGGGTATCCAATTCTGTGGGGTAACTGGTGTATAATCCTCACTACCTTGTAGTCATTGACTCCGGGGTGGAACCCAAATGCTAGATCGGCGGTGATAGTCGTATCAAAAGGATGAAAAATGGAAGTGGAGTCTAGAATTAGAGATTTGGGTAGGGTCTTTAGTTTTCCAAGTGCTGGGTTCCATAAGCATATGGTGCTTTCATTAGACAAGCATATGAGGCCATTACAGGATCCAGACACCCTTAAAGAATTTTTGGGGATGTGTGAGGGAAGTTGGGGTTCATAATACTCGCCAAAAGATTCATTGTCATAACGTATTGAGTAATGGTAAATTATGGGACGCTGAGTTTTGCGGTAGTTGAGAATGATGCAACTGTTTTGGCTTGAGGTTTTGAGATGTGCTTGAATGAATGTAGGGTTAATGAGTAGAGAGTACCATGATTTGCACACTGACATCAATCGGAGTAGTGATTTTACCGGCAGTCTAATGAAGATGTGAATCAAGATTTCTTCAGGGAGATAGTAAATATTTGAATTTGATTCTGCTTTGGCAATACTCCTTGCCATCCCTAGATTTTGATTTCAAATCAATAGACAGGAACTTATAATCAGAAACCTAGACACTTCTGAACTCCAAGCCTTCGTGGAATTGGGTAACTTGAGTTATATTCTTATTTTTCTTTACTCCTCTAGGATTTCAAATTGAGTTTCTATATAAACTTTGTGGGGTTACATGCAATTATAACTTACCATATCTCGTATGATCTTGTTTTTTCTATAGAATTTTAATATGAACTTTGTAAGGTTACATGGAATTATAATTACTTACCATATCTTATCAGAGGAGGTCAAATTCATGGCTTATGTAAGAGACTAAGAGTAGACATGCCACCTAAAAAAACAAGAACACATGCATGCTAAATCAAGCTTAATTTTGCTCGTATCTGTATTGGAGCACTTGTCATCTGCCCCCAACAATGGCTCATCACCACCACCTATTCTTTCTTAGAGGAGTGTTAGGACAATCGCTAGTTGCCACTTTTTTGTTTTTTCGGTCTCCTATCACATTTACTCTAGTAAATAACAATCCGAGTGATTGGTTTAACAGATCACACAACGACTGTCCCTAGCACTACTCTCTTTTTTATTGCCATTGTTGGGATAGTAACTTTTATCATTAAAAACTGCATTGACTGACAACACAGTCCAGGTGGAGGCATGCCACCAACTATTTCTCATGTCCCAAAATTTCAGACATAAAAATAAAGCATACTGCCCCAATACAAATTCCAATGGAAAGAAGGCATCAAAGAGCACTTAGAAAAGAATTTGATTGATGAAATACGTCATTCAAATGCTAATGGTTAAAAGAGGACACTACTGATTCACACTTCAAGATCGAGTGACAAATCAGTATATTACGTTATGTTTACTGCTCCATTGTTGGTCTTGCACTTTGCAGCAGTTCTGGCATACTATATATATATATATTATTTACATATTGTAATTCAACAAGATCATATATATCTAGCTACTTGGCACTAGAAGAAAATTTTAACGCATTGTATTGCAGACATAAACAAACCACGTTTTAAATTAATTATAGACAACTGTAGCAATGACGAATATCATCGTTCAAAATGAGGAAATAGAAAAGATGACAAAATAAGTAATTTACCACACCTCTCTTCCTACCCTTGTAAAAAGCGGTTTCACAAGCATCTGCTAACTATTTTCTTTCTCATGTTTCTTCTGCTAGCTAATTCAGAATGTGGATTTCCATTATCAAGTGGAAAAAGACTATATGCACCATCAAAGTTGAATCAAACTCTCCACATATGAATACGCGCATAATGAACATCCATGGATTCCTAAATCCTTATCTCTTTGGGTCTCAATATTATAAGTCAGCAGCTGGTTGCTCTCGTGGTCTGCTACTAGCAGATCACCGCTCTTTCTCAAGCAAAGCACTCTCCTAGGTTCAACACCGACATCAACAGTAAATCGTTTTGTCCAAGAATCTGTTTTGCCACACTCCATTGTCCATAACTCACACCACCTGTTAAAGCGACACTTTCCGAAAAGATATAGTGTTTCCCCCAAAACTGCAATATTGTACTGATGACAACCCCGAGCACCATCTGGTAGCATTACCTCTTCAAAAACTTCATCACCCATTTCGAAACGCACAAGTAGATAACAAGAACCCTCCTCAGTTTTCTTCACAACCCAATATGCAGCTCCATTCACGATTGCAGGTTTCCAACAAACAAAAAAACATGAAGGGGCAACATCAATTCTCCTCCAGGAGTCCGTGCTTAGACTATAAACCTCAGTTAGGTATCCATTCTTGTAGGATATAATCCGGACTACCTTGTAGTCATTAACTCCCGGGTGGAACCCAAATGCTACATGGGTAGTACTCCTATTATAAAGATCCAATTTGGAAGTGGAGTTGATAATTAGAGATTTAGGTAGGGTTTTTAGTTTTCTAAGTGCTGGGTTCCATAAGCATATGGTGCCCCTTACATTAGACAAGCATATGAGCCCATTACAGGAACCGTGCAGCGATAAAGATTGTTGGAGGATGTGTGAGGGAAGCTGGGGTTCAAAATACTCACGAAAAGATTCATCATCATAACGTATTGAGTACAAGTATTTGGCTTGAGATTGGTAGTTTCTGAGGATGATGTAACTGTTTTGGCTTGAGGTTTTGAGATGTACTTGAATGAAAGCAGAGTCACCAATTAGAGAATACCAATGTTGGCAGACTGACCTGAATCGAAGTAGTGATTTTACCAGCAGTCTGACAAGGATCTGAATTAAGATTTCTTCAAGGAGATGGTAAAAATTGGAATTTAAGGACTCTGCTCTGCCCATACTCCTTACAATTTTACGGATAGTCAGAAATCCTAGATTTTGATTTCAAATCAATAAACATGAACTTATAATCAGAAAACTAGACACTACTGAACTCCTAGCCATCGTGGAGTTGGTGTTGAAAATAAACTTGATTTTAGAATTTTAGTTTTAATTAGTATTTTCAAGTATTTGGTATACATGATGCATGTGTGCATTTAATGTTAGTGGGGTAGTAAATGGTGTTGATGGAGAAGGTTATGTAAAACTAAGAGGTATGTGAATTAAGTCTCCTAAATGCTATGTTGGTGGGAGTTATAATTTGTGTTAGTGGAAGATATGAGAGTTAAGTCTACTAAATACTATGTTTGTGGGATTAGTGGGAGTAATTGGGCATTGAAATATAGTTGGTTACATATGTCTTAGAGCCTATATAAACTCATGTACTATACCTATTTTATGTAGAGAGAAAAGTTGAAGAAGAATAAGATGAAATAGAAGAAGTGAAATAATTATTCAAGTATTCCTTCATATCATTCTCTTCCAAAATATTATTGAGTATTGTGTGTATCTAGCCCATCCACTATTTCCAACAAAGTGGTATCACAGGAAAGTTAGAAACCAACAGTTGGGTAAATTGCTTTAGTTGGGTTAGATTAGGTTTGATTTGAAGAGATATATATATATATATATATATTTGTGGTTTGGTTTGAAGATTAGAGTCATCTATATATATATTCCGTATATAATACGGAAAAGGAAAAAGAAAAGGGAAAGGAGAAAAAACGTTAAAACAAGTAGAGAAGAAAAATGATTTATATTCTTATTTTTCTCTACTCCTGTAGGATTTCAAATTGAGTTTTTATATAAACTTTGTGAGGTAGTTACCTAATTACCTAAAATAAGCGTCATGATTTTATTTTTTGTTTGTTTCAAAATAATAATTCACTTTTCTTTTTCAAATAATATATTTTATATTTTTTTCATATATATTCTTTGAGTTTAAAATTTAAAATTTGAATATTTAAAACTTAAAAAGCCTTTTCACAAGCATCTGCTAGCTATTTTCTTTTTCATTTTTCTTCTGCTAGCTCATTCAGAATGTGGATTTCCATTATCAAGTGGAAAAAGACTCTATGCACCATCAAAGTTGAATCAAACTCTCCACATAAGAATACGCGTATGATAAAATATCCATGGATTCCTAAATCCTTATCTCTTTGGGTCTCAGTATTATAAGTCCGCAGCTGGTTGCTCTCGTGGTCTGTTACTAGCAATTCACCGCTCTTTCTCAAGCAAAGCACTCTCCTAGGTTCAACACCGACAACAACAGCAAATCGTTTTGTCCAAGAATCTGTTTTGCCGCACTCCATTGTCCATGACTCACACCACCTGTTAAAGGGACACTTTTCAAAAAGATTTAGTGTTTCCCCCAAAACTGCAATATTGTACTAATGACAACTCCATTCACGATTTATGGTAGCACCATCTGGTAGCATTACCTCTTCAAAAACTTCATCACCCATTTCGAAACGCACAAGTAGATAACAATAACCCTCATCAGTTTTCTTCACTGCAACCCAATATGCAGCTCCATTCACAATTGCAGGTTTCCAACAAACAAAAAAACATGAAGGGGCAACATCAATTCTCCTCCAGGAGTCTGTGCTTAGACTATAAACTTCAGTTAGGTATCCATTCTTGTAGGATATAATCCGGACTACCTTGTAGTCATTAACTCCCGGGTGGAACCCAAATGCTACATGGGTAGTTCTCCTATAATTATGATCCAAATTGGAAGTGGAGTTGAGAATTAGAGATTTAGGTAGGGTTTTTAGTTTTCGAAGTGCTAGGTTCCATAAGCATATGGTGCCCCTTACATTAGACAAGGGTATGAGCCCATTACAGGAACCGTGCAGCGATAAAGATTGTTTGAGGATGTGTGAGGGAAGCTGGGGTTCATAATACTCGCGAAAAGATTCATCATCATAATGTATTGAGTACAAGTATTTGGCTTGATATTGGTAGTTTCCGAGGATGATGTAACTGTTTTGGCTTGAGGTTTTGAGATGTACTTGAATGAAAGCAGAGTCGGTGATTAGAGAATACCAATGTTGGCAGACTGACTTGAATCGAAGTAGTGATTTTACCGGCAGTCTGACGAGGATCTGAATCAAGATTTCTTCTGGGAGATGGTAAAAATTGGAATTTATGAACTCTGCTCTACCCATACTCCTTGCCATTTTGTGGATAATCAGAAACCCTAGATTTTGATTTCAAATCAATAAACATGAACTTATAATCAGAATCCTAGACACTTCTAGCCATCATGGAGTTGGGTAAATTTCTTTAGTTGGGTTAGATTAGGTTTGGTTTGAAGATTTTTTTTTTTTTTCCTTAGTTTGGTTTGAAGATTAGATCATCTCTATATGTATACTCAGTATACAATACGAAAAAGGAAAAGGAAAACGTTAAAATAAGCATAAGAAATATATGAGTTATATTATTTGCCTAAAAAAAAATATGAGTTATATTTTTATTTTTCTCTACTCCTATAGGATTTCAAAAAGTTAGGATTTCAAATTTAGTTTCTATATAAACTTTGTGAGGTAGTTGCATAATTACTTACCAAATCTTAGTAGATCATTTTTTCACTTTTTCTTACATTTTTCCAATGTGGAACTTGGATCCCTATTAAAAGGGACTTGCCGGATCCGTTCTGGGTGGCAGCGGTGCCGCTGCTGGCGCCCCCGTTGGGGGAAGGTGGTGTTTTTATTTTTTATTTTTATTTTTTGTTAAAAGGGTGGTTGTTAATTAATGAATGCATATTGTGTTATCATGTGTACGTGGGTTTTAATTTCTTTTTTCTTGTGGATATTTCAGTTTTCTTTTGGTTGTACTACCATTTTTTTTAATTATCAGTATAAGTTTTGGAGATACCAGAAAGTGATCGAAAATATTAAAAAAGGTACTTTCCGACTTGCTTGATTTGTAACTAAGTTTTCAGAAAATAGTTTTGCAAAGTTTTTGTACAATTTTTTGTTTTCAATTCTCTGAAAACTGTTTCCAAAAATTACAAACCAAATAGGCCCTTATTTTGTCTTTTGATCTCTCTTTCACTTGCATATTTCTCATGTGTCTCGAATAAAAATTGAGGTCAAATATGATGTGACGCTAATTAAAAGAATAATATGTCCAAAATTTTAATAGATATTACACTTTCTTACATATTTAAGTTATAGTTAAATTAAGAAAGCAGACAAATTCAAAGATGAGTACATGATACCGATCATATATGATAGGGAAAAATATAAACCTACCCTACTCTCGATAAGATTGATTAGATTTTATGATCAAGATAATGAAATCTGACGTGGTTCAACAGGTAAGAATAATCCTATTATAACTGGAGGAGGTCAAAAGGATTAAATCATATCCCGACAAATCTGACAACAAATCTCCTATGATTTCGCACAAGCAAAAGATAAGATGAACTATCGACATTGGCGGAACGATTTTGATTCCAATCGACAGTCATAAATAGGGCACCAAGCCATTAAAGAAGGTACAACGTAAAAACTATTATTGATCCCTGCCTTCTTTTTAGACCTTTGTGACTAATTTGATTGTCGGAGAGCTCTTGGCAGGCACCACACCGGTGCCGTCAAGGTTCATCGATCTTCTCCTCTCTTCCTTGCAGGAAAACGGTATCGTATCGGACTTTATAATTATGATAAACAAAATGTTGATTATTTATCATTCTATTAATCAATCACAACAATGTTTGGTGTCCAACCCAGCTTGGATGAATTTCATAGATAGTGGCTGAATAAATCTAAAACAAGTGTTCAAAAGCAAAAGTTAGATTTAAAACACATGTTCAAAAGCAAAAGTTAATTTTATATTTAATTTTAATAATTATCGCAATTTTATTGAGCCACATTAACAAAAGTTAATTTTATATTTAGTTTTAATAATTATCGCAATTTTATTGAGCCACATTGGTAGCCGAATGAACTTCATCCAACCTGAATTGGACCCAAACGTAGTTCAATCAAATAATTCAAACATGTAGATCGTTAAGGAAATTATAGGAATCTTATTTAAAAGAAAAAAAATCAAAATATTATTTTAAGCAGATTTAAGTGAAATATGTATTTATCTAATTATTCAAACATAAAAATTAGTTTAGAAAATTAGGGTTCTTGTTGAAGAGTTTTGTTGGGGTACAGTTTTTACCATAAATAATTTTTTTTCTCAATCATACCACGTATTTTTTTTTTCCTATCACATGTACTCTCCCCATAACGGGAAGCCAAAAAATAAAATAAAATAAAATAAAATTGGCAATATGTGTGATTCATGCCACTCCTCTCTTTCTTTTTGCCATTGCTATGATAGTAACTTTTATCATTAGAGTTATGTTATTTTTAGCCCGACAAATAAAAATCTACTATTTTACCAAGTCTATTTGATTATCCATGTGTCAAATATGATGAGACTTATTTTAAAATATAAAGTAATTAACTATTTTGAAAGTTTCTATCTTTCCATTTTTTTACAAATAAAAGTCAAAAATCCTATCAACACCCTAGGATTTCATTTTAATATTCTTTGTTGGCAAATAAAGTTTGAATCACCATGAAACTTTAATATATATATATAATAAGATTGTTATGCGAATGATTTATCTAACTCCCATAAACAAAAATGAGGACACAAATTTAAATAAGAAAAATTGAAAAGCATTGCAGCCTTTCGCAGCATTGCAATTTTGTATAAATAAAATTCTTATATTTCAATTCCATGAAAATACAGAAGGAGGATGGGGAAAGATGAGCGGCACCTATAAAAAAACTAAAAAGATAAGAAAAGGGAAAATGACGTAATTATGACGTAATTATTTATGTAAACAACTAAGAGTAAGGAAAATGATAATTTTGACGACACTTTCATACCGACATAAAAACCTACTTTAACGTGGCAATACACGAATAATTGTTCCAAATCTCTCTCATCACATATTAAATATACTACATTTTACAGACAAAAATACCCTTTTAGTTTCTCTCGTTTTCTTCTCCATGTATATATATATATATATATATATATCTTTACCTTTTCTCCTCTTTATATTTGTCATTGCTCCATAATTATAATTATAATTATAATTATAATAATAATTATTATTATTAATTTTTTTTTTTTGCTGTTAATAAAAAAGTTTCAGTCAACCAATTTTTTTTCTCTCTATTCTCTTCAACTACAATTTTATATGTTTTTCATCTCCAAGAAAATAAATAAATAAATAAATAAAAACAGAACATTTTGATAGTTTTTAACAAAATTTATGGGACGTAGTAGGTTTCAATTGAATTTAAGGGAGGAAATAAGGAAGAAAGTACTTATTATAAAAATATGTTTCGACAAACAATCGTTTCGGGAAAACATTGATGGTTTTGTGTTTATACTGGGTTTTTCGGCCACGATTTGAAGATATTATGAAATTTGTTAAAGAAGGTGAAGGTTGATTGAGTTAGAGAAGATGAGGATTGCTCTAAGATGAGTTTGGATAGAAAGAGGAAAGATGGTAATTTAGTCCTGAAAGTTTTAATGTGCCCTATAAAAGGAATGCCATACCATTAATTGGTTACCAATTGGACCAAATAAATTGGGTGAATAATAATTTATATTTGGAAAATGATTATTTTGACGACACTTTCATACCGACAGGAAAACCTACTTTGACGTAGCAATACAGGAATAGTTGTTCCAAATCTCTTTCATCACATATTAAATGTACAACATTTTATAGACAAAAATACCCTTTTAGTTTCTCTCGTTTTCTTCTCCATGTATATATATATAGAAAAATGATAGGTCTTCCGACTTCAATTGCCGACTCATCTTCTGAATACAACGTGGTTGAATCATGTTAAAATTCTTAAAACAAAATCCTGTAATCATTTCTTTCTTTTCGACTCATTCCCAACCACGTTGTATTCAGAGAATGAATCGGCAATTGAGGTCGAAAGACCTATCACTTCTCATATATATATATATCTTTACATTTTCTCATTTGCATATTTGTCATTCCTCCATAATTTTATTTTATTTTTTTTACTGTCAATAAAAAAGTTTCAGTCGACAAAATTTTTTTCTCTCTATTCTCTTCAACTACAATGTTATATGTTTTTCATCTCCAAGAAAATAAATAAATAAATAAAAGAAAAGAGAACATTTTGAAGGTGGGTTTTATATATCTATAGTTTTTAACAAAATTTATGGTACATAGCAGGTTTCAATTGAATTTAAGGAAGGAATTAAGGATGAAAGTACTTATTATGAAAATATGTTTCGGCAAACAATTGTTTCGGGAAAACATTGATGGCTTTGTGTTTATATTGGGTTTTTCATCCACGATTTGAAGATATTATGAAATTTGTTAAAGAAGGTGAAGGTTGATTGAGTTGGAGAAGATGAGAATTAATTGCTCTAAGATGAGTTTGGATAGAAAGAGGAAAGATGGTAATTGATTGGGGAAAGAAAAGGGAGAGACCGGAAATAAGATGATATTTTAGTCCTAAAAGTTTTATGTCTTTAATGTGCCCTATAAAAGGAATGCCATATCATTAATCGGTTACCAATAAGAGTAATAATGATTTCTATTTATGTTTGAAATTTTAGAAAAAAAATGATAAATTTGACGAATAATCACGAATTCTACCTTCAAACCCAATTCTACCTTGGCAGTACACGTAATAATCACGAATGGTAAGTTCTCTTACTCACACTCCCTTCCCAATTTTAACGCACAACATTCACTTATCACAATCGAGATCCCAATCCGAAGAGAGAAGTTAAAAAAAAGTTATCACCGGAATTCGAAAATTGTTAGGCCAAATTTCCTCATATGGCGTTTGCCAACGAAATCCCATTCGATTTAAGTCGTTCCTAAAACATGGCTCTCTCATATCGCTTCTCTCTCCTCTGACAATTACAACACCGATTACAATATCCAAAAATCTCAGTCTTTTCTCAGATATGTTCCAACAATCGACTCCTCATGTACTAGTAAAACTAATAGTTATGGTAATGGTGGAGAAACTTAGGGCTGAACTGAAAACCCTCTCGCATGATACTTGAACAAGTTGCGAAGCTTAGACGACCTTGAGCAACATTCCGACAAACCAAACAAAAAACACTTAAAAGGATTCCAGCAAACTGTTTGAGAGTTAATTAA